GCGCTGCTAAGCATACAAATTTGCTTAGCACAAAAAAGTCTGGCTTATAAAAGCAGGTTACCAGCCAAAACTCCACGGGTTGTAAATTGCTCGTGATTAGTATTCAGCTGTTGTTTGCTTAGCATGAAAATCACATGGAGTTTTGGCTAATAACCTGCTTTTATTTATAAGCCAGACTTTTTTTGTGCTAAGCAAATTTTTGTGCTTAGCAGCGCCGTGAAATTGGCCCCTGGCCTGCCATTGGATGCTGATGTTTAGTAAGTCCTTGCTAGTGTTGTGCATTGACGAATAATTAAGTAGTCGATTATTGGAACTTGGATTTGATCAAATATTCAAACACTGACATTGAGCCTTGTATTTAACAAAGGGAAAAATGTTGCAACCTGACGCCACTTCAGCGGTTGTGTACATGTAGTCTATACTTTTAGAGAGTCAAGAAATTTTCCAAATATTTCCTAACAAATTTGGAAATTTTTCTCAGTCCCAGATTCTGGTCTTAATTATCATCATTTTTGCAATGATCGACTGACATTCATTGAGATGAAAGTGGCGCCAGGTTGCAACATTTTTTCCAAAACAAATTATGACTATCATGTTGTATCAATTACACATTGTTTCCATTTGACTAGCTGATATTGAAACATTTTAAAGATCCAAATTAGGGCTTAACTTTTTCACAGAAGCTCTCAAATCATGCGTGTAAAGTGGCTTAAATTCACAAAAATGTGGCATTTGACAAACAATTAGGCTTAAACCAAGTTCATTTTTTATAGGAATACAATTAGGCCTACATGTACACCACAGACGTTTTTCGTCATCTGCTCGAAATGGCTCACAGTTTAAAAAATTGTCGTTGGTAAATTGGTATTTGGATATTACAAATTGTAAGTGGATTTTTCAGGACAACCTTTATAGCCCTTGCTGAATTTTCACCTGAATATTACAATGTAGTTTGTTGTCATGCTACTTCTGTACGCATGAATGAGCTTTAACCTCAGATTTAAACCAATAGGCCTACATCCCGGTATGATACACGTGTGTGCGGCAATAATAGCGTGCACATCTCTGAATGTACGTGGAGTCCGATATGGATTGTAGTATTGTTGCCATGGACCGACCAATCAAGATCGAGGATTCAAATTTGCTTTGGGATAAAACCTTTTTTTTATCCCAAGACTCAACAGGCTCAGCATGGATGTCTTTATATGATGTTCCAAAAAAAAAAGGGAGTTTCTCAAAAGTCGGGAACCTTCGTGGTCCAGTTGAACATTCCCGTTGGAACGTGCCTTGTTCTGACTGGAATGCGGGAGCGTTCCGCATCTTGTAGGGACCGTTCCAAGCTGTGGTCTGCCTGGAATACGACGGGAGCACTGTGTTGCCAGCCAATGTTCCCGGCGAAATACTCGCAGTCGGGTAAGTTTGCCAGTGTAGTAGGACTCTGAGTTTGTACGAACACTGTAGACCATCGCAAACTTTCGAAGACCTTTCTGACAGATTTTACATCATAAGGTCCTTTTAAAATTCTACATCTTCTGTTTGTAGTAAAAGTCCAGGAGACCATTTACATAAAACCAGACAGGTGCTTTCGTTTTAATTTATACCCTAAGTGCTGGGATTTTGTCGAGGTGAAGGCTTTTTGTATTGTGTGTTGTCGCTTTTTTCATCGTTTTACACAAAGAATTCCCTCAATAATTCAAAATCTCTCCCTCTATCCAAAACATTTTTGGCAGGTACAGGTAAGTCCCAGTAATCTAGTATTACATTGTAATTAATGACTATTTTTGCTCATTGTATACTAGAAAAGGGCCTGTAAATTAATGCATAATCATTACGTGTGACCTACAGAAATGACGTTTCGTCGTGTCCGTGCAACAAGGTCGTGTCTCCCAAAATAGCAAGTGAAATCATGTCGTTTGTCCCCCCCCCCACTTCTTTTCGTCCCAGAATTATAGCTCAGAATAGCTGTTTCAATCACTCCAAACTCGAAAATGATGTTTAAATGATGATCTTTTGCTAACAAATAAATTGGTTAAACTGGTCAGAAATTGCCTCAGATGAGGTCCCACCACAGAGCATCTAGAATCCAACATTTTTTCAGCCCTGAAGCGAAACCCCAAATCTCACGCCGTTAGGTCTTCACGCTTGCATTAGATTCAGATCAAGGTACAAATATACCCGGTAGGCCTATATCCCCTTCACTTTTGAGAAGCAATTGACGCCCTTGTACCGTCATACCGTCAAATACCGTCAACTGCCAAATGCACCCGTCAATAAGCCATTTGCGAGTAACCTATACCCTTTGGGATTTACATTTGAAAAACGTCTGGTACAATGACCTGCTCAGAATGCTTGGCACATTTTATCTTTGAATTCTCCAGACCAAAGACACTGTTGCTAATCACAAGATTCGGGGCAAGCTCTTGCATATTTACGCAAGAGACGCTCAGCACCAATACATCGTTCACAATGGGTGAGAATGGCACAAAGACACCAGACCATGCCGGAGCTGGGGGTTGCTAGCATAAGGCTTGCCCCGAATCACGTGATATAGTAACAGTCTCTTTGGTCGGGAGAATGCTAGGTTAAAACGTGCAAAGCATTGTATTAAGTCAGCGTTCCAGATTTTATTCAAATTTAACTCGCAAATGGCTTATTGTAATCTTGACAGACCCCTTGACAGGCCCCTTGACGCAACCCCCTCCCCCCCAACCCCTAGCAATGGTGCTTCGAGGGTGTGTTGAGTCCTTCAAAGCTGGAATGTGTCAATTCATGATTTGGTGTGTCAAACAATCTATGAGGTGCGTCATATTTCCGCACAAGATACAGGTACATTTTGTACGTATCACAATCCGTAAAAAGTGGGTCCAAAATATTGAGCACTAAATTTTGTGTCAATCCATACATTTGGTGCATGCATGTGTAGCTTACTACTCTGATGCGGGAGGTGTGTCTTACAAGTGATACCTGTGCAGTACATGTACCGGTACCATCAACTCCTTCAATTTTCAAAACCTCTGAAGTCTGTGAGCATTCGACCATACCAGATAGCAACGGTACATAGCAATGCATCTTTGCCATGTCTGAACTTTTGAAAGCCTGGATGAAGACATTCCTTACACAGTCCCAAAGATTAATGATGAACACCTGCAGGTTCAAGGGCGGATCCGGGGGGGGGGGCCAAAGGGGGCCATGGCCCCCCCCCCAAAAAAAAAAACGAAACCAATTTTTTTATTTTATTTTTTTATGTGACATCGCAATAAAGGCAGGCAATGAGTACACCACCATCTTTTCCTCAACAAAACATTGGTTAAAGTGGTCAGAAATTGCCTCAGATCGCACCACAGAGCATCTAGAATCCAAAAAGTAAGCGGGCCCCGAACCCCACGCCGTAATTTTTTTGACCCACTTTTTGGGGGGACCAAAACTTTTTTGGGCCCCCCAAAAATTGTGTTCTGGATCCGCCCTTGTGCAGGTCCCGTAAAAGTTACCCAAGATATTCCACTGGCACAACATTTTTAACACGTTCATATCGAGCTCCATTTTTTTCTATTGAAATTCTTGGGAATGACAGATCCAGTGCCAACGGAAGTTCTTGGGTAACCTTTGGCTCCGTCATGCATGTGGTCGTCGATGTGTTTGCTCAAACTGGCGTCTGCACTGTATTCGAGTATCGGTATTCAAAAGGTAGCCATGGCCAGCACATGCTGGATTGGTCATGCGAGCAGCGCAAGCGGTGTATGCTGCACCAGGTGCGGTGCCGAGGCCAAAGTACCGATATTCGTACTGATCATTATTTGAATACCGGATGCCAGTTTTAATGAAGCCCAATGACGACAACACGCGGGGCGCGGATCCAGAGGGGAGGTTTGGGTGTTGAACCCTTGTAGGGTCCAAGTTAGACCCGTGAACGTGGCGTTGTAAACAACACCATGCTCCGTCCTAGCAAAAATACACTCGAAAGTGTAATGCGGCACGACATTTCACAAGTATACTCGCATAATGTATACAAAGCTTAATCTGTAAATTTACACGAGTGTAGGATCTTGCATTGCCAAGAAATTTTATGGGCGGAAACCAGTTCAAGCTGCCCTAGTATCCGACCCCCTATTAATTATTATCGTTCGAAATATACTTGTATATAACGCGATCCAGTCTTCTCATTATCATAATCGATGCAACGCGCTCGGTAACGGAATCGCACTCGGGATACGGGGACCGTCGAATGTACGCTGGGCATGAAGACCACATCACGTCGTTCAAACATTAACAAGAGTTGGAAATTTAACGTGTTCACAATTGCGAGGGGAGCTCTCGGAATTGAACGGGAAATTTCACTTTTCATCCGGGTCGTAAGTAAACTTCAGTACAACCATCTTAATCATCGATGTCTACTTTTACCTCAGGTGGCGTATCTAGTAATTTGTAGGCCATTTTGAGGGTGAAATCTGATGTTTTTGTTGGGCAATGTTGAGTTTTGGGTCAAGGACAAAAATTGTGTTGCTCGGCATATAACTTTTAAGGATTAGCTTGGACCCTACTATCGCCAGACCATGTCCCAATGTTAAAAGGGCGATAAGTTGGGTCCAAGTTACTCGGACTAACATGACTAACATGATTGATTTAATAATGACTGTACCGGTCAGGCAAGTTGTATGGTAGCTAGGCCTAGGCTATATAGGTCAGGTGTACAAACAAGTAACATTAACATGCCTAAATATAAACATCAGACTGTCATTCCCTTTAATCATGCTTTACAGATTTGTCTACAATCCAGAAACAAATTTGGGAGCACTTCCTTAGTATCCAATGCTCAATTTGAACCTAAATGTTCATGTTATTATTGGAAAATTCTACAACCTGGTGTATGTAGGGCGCCCTCACACCATGCTGACACAAGGTTTCATGTCACCGATGCACGGATAGGCCTATAGTACTTGGCTTTACCGGGTCAACCCTAAATTATTTTCATCTTCTGGCCGATATTTTGGTGGTTCACTTACCATTTCTCACGCTCATATGGACCGAAAAAGCCTCTTCCATATCCTGTTTGTATCACAGACGCACGCAGCATGGATGTAGGAACCCTTGATCGTCGCTCGATTTGTTAGGAATTGGGCGTTTATTCAGGTGTTGGAGATCGCATGGGCCTATGGGCTTGGTTGTTTATCGTGTACCGTAAATTGATCACACACAAAATTTGCAGCCTGTACATGTACATAGTACACGCATGCATGCTAGCCCGAGTGTACGGTACGTGTCGGGCCGGCCGATGCGGATCGTTAGGGCGATAGGAGAGGGGGCGCTATTATCAACCGTAAAGATCTCAATTCAGTCTTCAGAGAGTCAATCGGCCGTGAAGACTCGGACTCGGAGACTAAACTCACTTGGCCCATCAAAGTTTGTTTTTCTTGTAAAATGTTGTCACTATGTTATTTTATTACAATGCAAAGATGAAATAAAACAAAAAGATAACTTACAATATTGGAGTGCTCCTATAGTCCCGCTAACTGGGGCGCTAGAACTCCTTTTTTTTGACAGACGTACACTGTACAGCATCCCAAATGTCAAAAAAAAGAAGAAGAGAGGACGTTCTAGCGCCCCATCAGTTAGTGGGACTAGAGTTATATATTAAGAGGGATGGATCATGGAGCTACCAATCTTGGCTCTCAGGACAAATTAACATGTATATACCACCATCCGATAATAAGCACCCAGCTGAACACTACACAATAGAGCACACATGGAATTGCCACCCACCCTCTCCAGCTGGACAGCAGCAATGCTTTTAGGAGAGAACACCTATGCAAGATGCATAATATGCAAGTAACGTAGCCCAGGTTGGACTCCGTTGTGTAATGCAATGAAGACGTCGTCCAACCTGGGCTAATATGCAAGATGCTCATGACCATAAATCTTGTAAATCAAGTCATATGACTCGGATAGCTCCCAGTCGGCATGCATCTGATTTTTTTTATAAGCTTTATTTTTTTTCTAGAACATCAGATCTTGATCTTATATTTTGGGATCAGTTGTAACACGCACAGATGTACATGTACTTGACTGAAACGAATTCCCGTACGCAATATTGAGGTCAGATGGGAAGGAATAGCTATAACTTGCATGCATGATCAAGCTATAGGTTATCTGCTGAAGTTATTTGGGGCTCTCATATGCTTTAAATTAGGCTAGGCCTATTTTATAAGACTTCATAGTCCCATAATTATTTTATTGGCAGAATGTGTTTTAAAAAATTGATTGAAATGATCGTCACTGAGCGGATTCTGTACTGTTGAATTGCAGATGGTCCTTGAAAGATTGTCGTGGCAGTTGTGGTACGGTGGCGTCTTTAATTCTAATTTGCTCCAGCTGAAGACGAGGCTCAGTCCATCATCATATCCAGGCAGTTGCATATCACTCGCTTCGGCGCCCTAGGACTAGGACTTGGACCATGCGCTTACGGACTGCTATCATCTGCGTGCGGCTCGGGAACTGCCTGGCTACCTGCATCTCTCCGTTATTTGACGTGTTTACTGAAAGTATCGGACACTATTGGCATTACTGTGCATCTCACATATCATGTTGAGGTTCATGATTATTATGGATGCCAGCTAGTGAACTGACCGCGTGCACGTGCGGCTGGATCGGCAACTTTTCCGAGGTAATTCACCTCGCTCATGTGCAACGAGGCCGTGTTCCCGTCTCTGGATGCGCGTCTATGGATCCATGTTGTGTCCCGTGTATGTGCATCATCACATTGATGAGATACATGGATGCGGCCTGTTGAACTGACCGCGTGCCTTGAAAAGCAACTTACTCCCCGGCGCGAAGTCAGTGACGAAACCATGGAGGTGCTCGTCTCTGGCCGCTCAGATGCGCGTCTCTGGATCGTGTATGCCCATGACTCCGCGCGTAAAGTTTTGAACCGTGCAGACCAATGCAAGAGAAGGAGATGTCATCTTAATCCGGCTATCGTACCGTGGCGAAGGACTATAGGCCTATGGCAATCGAAGCCGGCCAACACACATTTAAAAGAAAAACATACTGTAGGCTATAGCCTGATTCGAACGGTAACCTTGTCAATGTGTGTCATCAGCAGATAGGATAATGCCTACAAGGCCGTAGGAAGCGGTACGGCAGGTACGGCTATGGCCGTACCAATAATAACAGGCATATCTTCTTCTTTTTTAATGTATACAAGGCCTTGCATGGCCCCAAGGGTGGATTTTTGTTTTTTGGTTTCTAGATGCTCTGTGGTGCGATCTGAGGCAATTTCTGACCACTTTAACCATTTTTTTTTAAAGGAAAAGGTGGTGTATGCAGTACCTGCCTCTATTGCGACGACACTGAAGAAAAAAAATGGGTTCCATTTTTTTGGGGGGGGGGGGGGGGCATGGCCCCCGTTGCCCTCCTTCAAATCTTTCTTGTGTTGTTTTTGTGTTTTGTTTTGTGTTTGTGTTTAAAGGGAAAGGGCGTAATCATACATGTCGCCACTAGGCCTACATGTTAAGTTAAACGTAATGGCGATTGGCCGCCACCATGAATTTTAGTTGTCCTCAGACTAGTACTTGTGTTTTCTTAAAAAGAAGTGGTTTTCTAAATGAGAAAATAGCAAGGAAGAACCGGTTTTGTGCAAGCAAAATTCAGGGAATAATCCGTTGAAGTTAATATCTTGTTGGAAAATTCCAAAATCATTCAAAGAGAGTAATTACCGCTGTGAGTCAGAGTTTATGAAGGGACGGAAAGTGGGATTTGCTATCAACAAGACCGTTCGTCATTCTTTACCTGATGGAATGTGAATCAATTGGAGGATGAGAGACTCTGCGCGCTGATGTATTTAAAAAAAAAAAAAAAACTTAACAAGTACGCTCGGCAGTTCAATCATGTACGTACACTGGTATCCATACCGGTGAATTAAATTTCTAAAAAATACATCAGCCCGCAGAGCCTCTCGTCCTCCAATTTGATTCACATCCCATAAAAGGTAAATAATGAGGAACGGCCCTGTTGATGCTGATAGCAAATCCCACTTTCCGTCCCTTCATAAAATCTGATTCACGGCGGCAACTTTCTTGAAATGATTTTGGAATTTTCCAACAAGATATTAGTATCAACGGATTATTCCCTGAATTTTGCTTGCACAATACCGGTTCTTCCTTGCTATTTTCTCAGCTAGAAAACCACTTCTTTTTAAGAAAACACAAGTACAAGTCTGAGGAAAACTAAAATTCATGGTTAAATTCCATTTAACTTAATGTGTAGTGCATGGCGACATGTATGATTGCGCCCTTTCCCTGTAAACACAATCATGGATCAAGCTAAAGAGCACAAATCTAGAAAGAGAGTCAAGCTACAGTTTTGATGTGATGCTTGTGATGTAATTTATCATCTTTGATGACCCACCCACTAAAACACGAATACATTTTAATAAAAAAGTCAGGGGAAAGTGGCCAGGAAATGCCTCAGATTGCACTACAGAGCATCTAGATCCAAAAAAAGTTTTGCGATGAGCAAATGTCCAAAACTTTTCACTACGATAGGCTAAATTTTGACGAATTAATTTTGACGATTTATGTAAAGTTCATCAAGTGACATATACTGGTTAAACTTGCAGATGTGCAGTGCTCCAAAATGTGTCTTGTACAAATTACGAAGAATAAAATTCCCTGTATACATGCATATAGTGTTGGGGGGGGGGGAGTGGCTTTTGGTTACATTTGGGAGGGATTGGGTCAAATCCTGGATCTGCCTCTGCAGGCCTGCCAACTCTAACACATTGAGCGTAAGACTCACACATTTCAGGTTATTCTCATGCTTTAACGCCGACATGGGATTTCTCACGCAAAAAAAAATATATATAAAAAGATAATTGACTCCAAACTTGAAAATGATGTTTAAATGATGATAGCTCAAAAAAGGTTAAAGTGGTCAGAAATTGCCTCAGATCGCACCACAGAGCGTCTGGAAGAACCCCACGCCGTTACGGCTTCACGCTACGCGCTCGCATCAACTGAGCTCCCTGCCCTGAGATGAGCCTGACCAATAAATTTTAGCTTCCTACGGGCCTGAATGCCTATATAGAGAGCTATAAAGCTCATACATGCCCGGGAACTTGATGGCATATATCTGTCACTTAGTTTCCTTAATTCATGTTCTCGGGTGTGTAGTAGGCCTAAATGAGATGAGAGATCATTCTACAACTTACAAGTAAATCAAAACCATTAATGTGAAGCAGAGACAAGTGGATCATACATTTTGATATCGTCGGGCGCAGGTGGAAATGGACGTGCATGCCACTGAGAAGATGGGACCCGAGGTTTCTTCCTGGCCCCGGACGTGTATGAACTAGTCCTTGATGAGGACAGGCCGTCACCCGGAGCATGGAGGAAGCGACACACAGTGTTGCCTCCTATTAAACAAGAAAGCGATACTACAGTGCTATAGGCACTTAGATAAGATGGTCCAAAAACTGAGCAAAGGCCAACTTGATTTCGATTGGGTCGACCTATTTAGATCAAGATGCGCTGCAGCATCACTGCATGCACTTTGCGTTTAACATTTTGTAGAATTAGCTGTGACAAGCGGATCTTGAGCTTATTATAGAAAAATAGCCCTAACAGTAGCTTACAAAAATAAACCGACCTTTACAATTAGTAATTTTTTTGTCTACTTAGTTTGTGTAATTAAATAGGCGTAATAATGATTATTTTGAAGTGTTTTATTTTTTGTAAATAATTATAAAATTTGTAAAATGTATATCAATCTTGTATTATTTATATTTTTGAAGTTATCAGGGTTTTGGGGGGGCCCTGTTTATATTAAATGCACGCCAGTAAGTACTTCCAAAAATGCCTATTGGCCATAAACTTGAGAGTTTGTAAAAAAAAAAAAGGGGGGGGGGGGAGCCGTGAACAGGACTGCGAACTCATATTTTTGTGAAAAGAAAACTGGGGCCCTAAAATTGCTCTGTTTTTCATAATGGCAATGGGCTTCAGGACATTTTTAGGGGGGATCATGATAATTATATTTGGATGGATTTTTTACCCAAAAGTCACCGGTTAACCTCCCGGAAAATTGCACAGAAAATGAAAGATGATGAAATAAGCTTTAATTTGATGTGTGTCTCAAACACCTTGGAGAGTTGTGAGTATTTTTCATAAGTTTTGGAATTGGGCGTAAAACTACGTCTATGGGAGTTTATTTACTGGTGTGCATGCAACCTTTACTTTTTTCAATCGCCCTTTAATTATTATACCGCCCTCTCGTGTTTGAGCAATTTTCATTGATCACACAAGCTGCACGTGGGACGAGGACGCTTTTATCAAAATGGGTCGGCCAGGTTTGCAAATTTTTACATTTTTAACAATAAATTTGAAACTGACATCTACGGTTGTTTGAAGGTTTTAATGATGACATTCTGTAGAATATTTACAAGTAACAGTGGGGATCTAGACTTAAGTAATGAAGATAGTTTACCGATGCAAACAATGAATCGAACATGAAGAACTCGACATGACTGTGCGTGCCACGAGAGCATGCTGCGTTGCTGGTCAACGTACGTACGCGGCCAACTGGTTCACAAACAAAAAACAGTCGTACTCGTAGTCGTACACGAGGTCTGCTACCCCAATTCCTCACTTGTAATGCGTCAGCAATAAGCGTCAACAAAGTGTCAACATGTTATACAAACAGTTTTAGCTTAAAATGTTAATGTTCAACTTCACTGTACCAGGCATGCGTGTGCCAGGGATGTGATTTCTCCGTTTTTCCCCCGGAAATCCGTTTTTTGGGGCCCCAAAAGTCCACCAATGGCAATGTGAATCATGTGAATCCGTTGAGAAAATAGGGGGGTAGAATGTGCTAATTGCCTAATTGATTATTCATAATGAGTTTTGCTTGCCGAAATATCCGAAATTTACTTACGGACATTACTTCATTGATTGATATAGGAAACAGGTCAACTCGTACGCCAGCCAACTTGTACGCAAGACAACTCGTACGCGGACCAACTCGTACGCGAACCAACTCGTACGCCAGGCAACTCGTACGCGGACCGAAATAAGCAAATTTAAATTGAACGATGTTTACCATCGCCAAAAGTTTACCCCAAAACACACGCCAAAGTTATCGATTTATCACAGTACACAGTACGATTGTATGACTGAATAACTATGATTGTAGCCATATGTATTTTTAACAGTTTAAATTCCATAAATGCAACGATGTCAAGTTCAAAAGTTTCAATGATACAAAAAAACACGATCCATTTTAATTGCGACCGATGTGTAGTGCAATGCTGCGGCGGCATGCGCTTCCAACCACACAGGTAGTGTGGAGAATTTGTCAAGACGTACAACGATTTGATTTACACACATAGCGCGGGGCCACTATAGCAATGTATTGTTGGAAGTCTAATGCAGCGGACATTATACGATTTAAATTCTCACTACGTGGCAATATCTTGTCGTATAGCGTACGGTGTGAGCCAGGATCAGACATCGACAGTGTGCGAGTGGTCCGGGAAAACAAATCATAACTTTTTTGTTATGAGCAAAAAAAGCTGATTTAAAACTGAACTAATTGGGACCACTCAGTAACACAAAATTATCCCCTTAACTTAAGAAAAAAAGAATGTGCCGGACAACTGACCGACCCTAATTTCCTACACGCCCGAACCAACGGTTTCAGTCTAGTCTATACTCACGCGTACGAGTTGGCTCGCGTACGAGTAGGTCCGCGTACGAGTTGTCCCGCGTACGAGTTTGTCCGTGTACGAGTTGTCCTGCTTACGAGTTGTCCTGCGTACGAGTTGGTCGCATACGAGTTGGCTCGCGTACGAGCTGACCTGTATTCTTGATATACATGATATTACATGTATTACGCACGCACATTGATTTCCCAATGTGAGAACGAAGTTGAAGACCATGCGTTGCCATTATTTATTAGCGCGATCATGTGATTTTTCGCTCGGGTCCGAGGTTGTGATTATTATTAAGGTCTAGTTCCTGTGTCGGTACTCGAGATGCACGTGTTGCGCTTGTCAGGTGTACAGACTAATATTACTCGGCGTGCACAATGACATACAGTACGTTATTATTATTATTATTATTAATAATTTCTGGTAATGAAACCAAGGATTCCTCAAAAGCGCCATAGGCACTGTAGCTCGCAAGCCTGAAGAAACCTGTGGAGAGAAGACAATGAGAAGAAGTTACAGTTTTAGAGGTGGGAGGAAAAGCCCAGAAGAATATTCTGGGGAAAACCCACGGAATCAGGCAGGGACTGAAAACCCAATCCACATATTGGCCCAGGCGGGATTCAAACCCGGGTCACAGCGGTGGAAGGCGAGGAAAGTACCGCTACGCCAACCTGACTCCCCTGTTGTTTTACGTGCGTCGGCTCGGAGTGTTTGTGTACGTACATGACGTATGCTTCCAACGGAAATGCTTCCAACATGGCTGCACCCGACAAGTCGATACTGTCGCAAGGAGATTTATCAGTGCGAGAGCTTGATAAAGAAGTGAAAAATAAGTTCCGGTGGGAATGGTTTCGGGACTCCGTTATTATTGATGGGCATCAGCATGAATTTTAAGAGTACAGTTTCGATAAAATAGCAACCGCTGGCAAGGTCAAGTTTTTGCAATGTTTGCAACGACATTATCAACTATGCATCGAGTGGTAAAAAATCGCTCGTATCCCATGTGAAACACCCAAAGCACATCAAAGCATGGCAAATACGGCGAGGTAACATGAAAATGCATGGTTCTCACCTTTTGAGTACAGAAGAAACTTTATAAGAACAAGAATACATTTTAACAAAGGAAGGAAAATTCTTCTTAAAATTAAAACAAATTCTGCTCCAAAATTTCAGAGGAAAGTGACCAGTAATCGCCTCGGATTGCACCACAGAGCATCTAAAATCAAAAATAACTTGGGGCCCTTAAGCGGGCCTGCCCCGCCCCGGACCCCACGTCGTAATGGCTTCGCGCTTCTCGCTCACTTGAGTTTGCACTTCATGCATAAAATTTTCAGGGTTTTTTTTGTCTTAGACCAATCATATTCCTGCTGTACTCGGTCATGTGTCAGTTCCCTGGTCGTACACAGTATTGAGCGCTCGAGAGTCCCCCAAAATATTGCTGCACGCACATTTTCACTAGCACACTTTGCACGCAACCGGTGCAGCAGGCACTTAGTACCTGGGAGTGTGGAACTTGATCCGCGAGTTTGGAATATTTGAATATTCAATCAAACACAGTTTTGAAGAATCAAATAGTAAACAATTCAAACAAGGACAGCCCAAGAAAGTGAAGTTTAGGATTGTCTGAAATCTTTCATTAATAGCTGTAAAACGGAAATTATGCATTGGGTTACACTCTGATATTTCACGTTCTGTTTTCTATTTGTTTAACTCTGCAGGATTTTCGCCAAGAGGCGGTGGCTTTGGAAGCAGAGGGGTGGGGGGCAGAGGAGGTGGAGGGAGGGGTGGTTTCCGTGGTGGCGGTGGAGGGGGAGGTTTTCGTGGCGGTGGTGGTTTCCGTGGAGGTGGGGAGGGGGGAAGAGGGGGCTTCAGAGGCGGGCGTGGTGGGTCACGAGGAGGAAGAGGAGGTGAGTATAAGTCTTCTGTACAAGAAATTTGATCAGTGTGCGGATTTGAAATCAAGTTTATCATTCAGGCTTTTAGTTCTATAACCCTAACCCTCCAGGGTATGTTTGCTAGAGCCCTGCCAAACGCAGCAACATGCAACACTTGACTAAGTGACAAGCCTGCCAAATGTAGCAAGATGCATCAGGGGAAAAGTCTCAAGGCCACACTGCCTCAGAGTCCGTGGTCACTGCACGCAGCAGGATACAACTGTGGCATTGTTCAATTGGACTAGCTCTCATTGTCTCTGAAGTGGCCGTTAATGCACTGCTGTTGGTAGCTGAATGCATCAAAGTGCACCAGTTCTTTTCCACCTGGTGCACTGTGTTGCGTCTGGCAGGGTTAGGGTTATCCAAGCAGAGGCAGATTTCGCCACTTGTCTTTTTCACTTAAATTCAGAGTTTGAGTGCCAAATAAAAGGTGATTTTTGTTTTGTCTTCAGGTTTCACCCCAAGAGGCAGAGGTGGTATGAGAGGAGGGAGAGGAGGTAAGGTCATAGGTCACACAACATGTCACAGGTCATGGATATTAAAGGTCACAAGAGTTCAGAGGTCAAAGGAAAACTGTTTACTCTTGTTAAATGTTCAGCCAGATTTAGAAAAAAAACTTATTGTTGTAGATAAGGTCTTAGTTGTAGAAACTGTGTACAGTCTGTCTTTATTTGTTCCTTTTTTTTTTCTGCTAAGCATGAATCAGCTGGGTACCAGTTACAAGCCATATACATTGAATGGCACTTTGGCTGGTTACCTGTTTTGACAAGCCAAACATAATTGTTGGGCTTAGTAAATCATCTGTACTTACAAGCTTTGTGAAATTGACCAGAGATGTCATCCAGTGCAATGAAGCTATACCTTGAACTTTGAACTTTGGATCATTCCATTATCATTGCAGGTGCTAGAGGTGGCATGAGGGGAGGCAGAAAAGTCGTCATAGAGCCGCATCGATTGGAAGGAGTCTTTATTGCTCGTGGGAAGGAAGACGCTCTGGTTACCAAGAACCTGGTACCCGGCGAGACGGTGTACGGAGAGAAGAAAATCTCTGCTGAGGTAACGTTGGTACTAATGTGCAAATGTGACCCAACTTTACAAAATGGGTCTGAATCGTTATTCAAAGGATTGTCAACACCGTGTTGGTAAGCTCAGTCGGTAGAGCACTTTAATGACACGTCCTTAAGTTGTACGTTGGAATCCTACCTTGGACACATTTCTTTCTTCCATGAATTAAGGACGGTGTTTTCAAGATGCAGTCCTTCTGTTTTGAGGCGTGCGATCACACCCCCACGCCATCACACTCCTAAAAGCTTCCTGAGAAGTGCGAATAATCGCACGCCTGAATCCCTCAGTACCGCACACCTCGGCATACATTTACGGCATAATTATACTTCATAATTTGTGTAAAAGGAAAGATTCCCATATCTGGCCATCACTGACCTATCAGCCATGAGAAAGTGATATGTCCTAAAAAGTTAAATTGAGCAGGGAAAATATTGAAGTATTTGCTGAGAAAACACTCATTTTCAGACCAGTCTCATACGGTTTGTGCACAGGGTGACAAGTGATGGCCACATTTGGGATCTATCCGTGATAAAAGAAGTACGTCAGTGAAGAGAAAACGGCTTTATTGTAAACCAAGATGAATATTATGAAGAAAAAAAACCCAGATTATTCAGTCCCAGCTTGGACCACAGAATCACACGCCTAGAAAAATCACACGCCTAGAAAAATCACACGCCTAGAAAAATCACAGGCCTAGAAAAATCACAGGTGTGCCTTTTTCCACACACCTGTGATTTTCAAATCAGAAGATAGAAAACTAGGCTTTGATTCTAGTGGATAAAGCACTGGAATGACATTGCAAGGGTTACATGTTCGAATCCCTTCTCAGTCAATTTTCCTCGCTTTATCGTCCGTAGGATGGCGACATCAAGACAGAATACAGAGCCTGGAATCCCTTCCGATCCAAGTTGGCGGCGGCCATTTTGGGCGGAATCGACAAGATCCACATGAAGCCTGGATCGAAGGTGTTGTACCTTGGGGCTGCCTCGGGCACAACTGTGTCACATGTCTCCGATCTCGTAGGACCGGTGAGTCAAGTCAATCACATGTTCAATCACAAGTCAGTCACACATCAATCACAAGTTAATTACATGTTAATCACAACTCAATCACAAGTTAATCACATGTTAATCACATGTTAATCATAAGTCACTCAAAAATCTGTTACAGATCAACTCCAAGTCAATCATAAGTCAAACTTCAGTCAATCACAAGTGAATCAGAAGTCGATCACGAGTCATCCACAAGGCATGCACCCGTCATTCAGAAGTTATGCACAAGTCATACACCAGTCATGCACAAGTCATACACTAGTCAATCGCAAGTCATGCACAAGTCAATCGCAAGTCAATCACAAGTCATGTACAAGTTAATCACAACTCATGCACATGTCATGCACAAGTCGTGTCACGCACCAATCAATCGCAAGTCAATCACAATTCAAGCAGAAGTCAACCACAAGTCATGTACAAGTCAGTCACAAGTCAATCACTAGTTCAATTACAAGTTAATCACAAGTCAGTCACACAACAATCACAGGTTAATCAAATGTTAATCACAACTCGATCACAAATCACTCACAGATCTTTTACAAGTCAGTCACAAGTTAAACTTCAGTCAATCACTAGTGAATCAAAAGTTGATCACAAGTAAATCACACAACAATCACAAGTTAATCACATGTTAACTACAACTCAATCATAAGTCTCTCACAAATCTGTTACTGGTCAATTACAAGTCAATCACAAGTCAAACTTCAATCCATCACAAGTGAATGTGATGGCCTAGCGAGTGGAGTGTGATGGCCTAGCGGTTAAGAACACCGGACTCACGTTCTGGTGTTTCAGAGGCAACAGTGACGTGGGTTCGAGCCCGCCGGCGGACACTTGTGCTCTTAAGCAAGGCACTTAACCATTATTGCTTCGTCATTCGGATGGGACGTTAAGCCGTAGGTCCCGTGTGTTGTATAAATGCACGTAAAAGAACCCAGTAAACACTTATCGCTAAGAGAAGGGGTTTGCCCCGGTGTTTCTGGCCTCCTGTATAAACTCCCACGTGGAGTATTTAGGAGAAGAACCAACCAAGAACCAATCAAAAGTCGATCACGAGTCAATCACAAGGCATGCATCCGTCATGCACAAGTCATTCACAAGTCATGCACAAGTCATGCACAAGTCATGCACAAGTCAATCGCAGGTCATGCACAAGTCAATCAAAAGTCAATCGCATGTCAATCACAACTCATGCACAAGTCGTGTCACGCACCAATCAATCGCAAGTCATGCACAAGTCAATCTCAAGTCATGCACAAGTCAATCGCAGGCCATGCACAAGTCAATCAAAAGTCAATCGCACGTCAATCACAATTCACGCAGAAGTCAATCATAAGTCATGCACAAGTCAACCACAAGTTATGTACAAGTCAGTCACGAGTCAATCACTAGTCCAACACATGTCGATCACAAGTTACGCACAGTTCATGCACAATTCATGCACAAGTCAAGCACAAGTCAAGTACAAGTCAATCACTAGTCAATCGCAAGTCATGCACAAGTCATGCACAAGGCAATCACAAGTACAAATCATGCTTCAAGTTAAAGTCAAAACACTCAACTACTTTACATCTGTTAGTAAAAACTTTAACAAGTTCAGTTGTAAGTGCAGCAGGGGATCAAAATAATTCTAACCCTTCATGTTTAAATGTCTTACAACCAAAGCCGTTCATCACACCATTGCCCCATGGAGTATAAAAATCTGATCAGAATATGTGCAGCATGTTCGAACACAATTACCCATTTTACTCCTGTTTGGGCTAAAGCAATTTTGATAAAGTGCCTTGCCCAAGGACACATTTACCACAAACCACACAGGTTTGAAAGACCTTTTATTGAGTAATAGTTGTGTTGATTTTGGTTTGTTTGTCGTCTTGATAGGAGGGCCTCGTCTACGCTGTAGAATTCTCCCACAGATCGGGTCGGGACCTCATCAACGTTGCTAAGAAGCGCACCAACATCATCCCCATCATTGAAGATGCCAGACATCCCCACAAATACAGAATGCTGGTCGGTGAGTGTCAAAAAGTGCAACGCCTTTGGATTTGTGCGCACATGACAATAACCCTTGCCCAGGTGGCGAATTTTTTCTCCCAAACGACATCCGCATACATGGTTGTTTAGCGCCCTCTGCGATACTTTTATGATACGCACACAGGTATATAATTATTTGTTTCCCCATGTTTAGGCGAGCAGTGCTGCAGCTCAGTCGATAAAGGGTTGGATTTTGCACCGCGAGGTTGCGGGTTCGAATCTCAGTTTTGCACCCTTTTCTAACGTGAGGCTTTGGAGGATTTTTTTAAAAGGGAAATAAAGTCCAACTTTCATAACATTCAAAGTCACTTTTTTTTTCTAAGTTTATATTTCTTCTCATGTTTTTATAAAAGTTAAGTCCAAAACGCCATAGCGTACACCCATTTGTGGATGTTGTTTGGGAGAAAAAAAATTGCGCCCAGGTGACCTTTCACCTCCCTGCAAAGCGGGAATGGCAAAGCCTTGTTTAACCCTAACCGAACTCAACGCATCAAAGCCCAACAGCAGGTTTTGTTGAAATCTGTAAGGATAGGTACAGTACCCCGAAACTGATGGTCTTTTACATTAGGTTTGGCACACCTCCAGAAACTAAGTCCAACAGTGCGTGTGTGTGCGATTTCCCGTGTGGGTGTTTGAATTTGCCAGGATGTGTACGGTTCCTAGTAAATTATGCTAGGGAGTTAGGGTTAATCACAGTAGTTCGTCTTTAGCTTTGGCCAGATGTTGTGAACCAGAACTGTCAGAATTTTAAAATGTGTGACATCATCATGCCGTTTTAAAAAGTGCAATGTTTTAAACAAATGTAAGACAAGGTCTGATTGTCATGAAACTTAGTGTGTACAAAGAATCTAATGGTACTTTGTAAGTACAACATGACATCATGATGTATTAGCAATCTATATTTTATTAAGGAACTTTTTGTCATTTTTTCCAAGGCACACAGTGTTATACAATTTAATAAAAGTGCCAATGGTTTAATCCTCGCAATGTTTAGCCATTTTTCCCAGCAGGAATACAATGTAATACAATTTAATACAAGCGCAAGTGGATTAAACCTCACAGCCTTTTTTCAATTTTTTCTGCAAGGAATATAACGTAACACAAAGGAATGCAGTGTAATACAATGTAATACAAAGAAATACAGTGTATTACAATGTTATACAACTACCCATGGATTAATCCTTACAATTGTAATTGCCTTGTTTGCTGCAGGTATGGTTGACTGTATATTTGCCGACGTGGCCCAGCCCGACCAGGCCCGTATCGTGGCCATCAACGCACACAGCTTCCTCAAGAACGAAGGCAACTTTGTCATCTCCATCAAGGTAGAAAAAAAGATACACATGCAAACATCAATTCTGATTTCATATCCTTTACAATACGCCATAATTATTTTGGTATAAACAAATATGAATTCAAGTTTTATTTGCATAAGTTTACGTGTTGATATAATTTTTAAAATTACGTTTTTTAAATTTTTTTTTTAATTTGTATTACTTGAAAATGATTAAATTAGCTAAATTGCCAATCTTTTAATGTGCCATTGGCCCACACTCAGTTGACCATAATTATAGACAATAAGGTCATGTGATTTACAGTTGTACTGTCCGTGATCTTCCGCTTGTATGTTTTATTTCAACAAAAATAAGTACTTTTCTTGGGTCATTAGTAGTCTACAGGTATTGTGCACTGTCCACTTTCCTGCAAGTTATTCTACAGCCGTTATTCTACAGCCATCGCAACGTCATACTTGATTTTGTTTTGCAGGCCAACTGTATTGATTCCACGGCCCAACCGGAGGTCGTCTTTGCAGGCGAAGTCAAGAAACTCATAGCAGAGAAGCTGAAACCGCAGGAGCAGCTGACGCTGGAACCGTACGAGAGAGATCACGCGGTCGTCGTAGGAGTTTACAGGTAAGTTGCCGAAACGACTCATATTCATATTCATATTTTATTAGTCATGTAAGTTAAAACAGACATGGAATTCTTGTCCTGGTGTAAAATCATAGAGTAAAACAGTTAAAACATCAATCAACATATAAGAAGATGACAATAGCTGAAAAATAAACTTTCCTTAATATAAATCACATAAAAATTAAAAAAGCATAAGAAATGTGTTACAAACGACTTTTTCTTCCAATTCATGAGTGTGACTTCTGTCAAGATCTGATCAAAGTAGACCATTCGGCATTTTGCTGTGTTCCACGTACCTTACATTGTCCGTCCAGGCAAGCATTTGTTCATAATGCCGTACACATGTTCAACAGACACTCTTGTTTTACTACACTCTCGAGGACAATGCTTTGTTTCCATTTGTTACTGTAATATAACACTCTTCCATAGACTAAGCACACAAACTTACTACAGAGGACCGTTTCCAACAAAAGACTCAACTCCCTTTTTGTGTCGGTTCTCTGGGGTTATGTAGAACACGTTCAGTCAGGGTGGGTGTCTGTAATCTGGACTTTAGTTTTAACACTTCTAATCCTGTTTTTTCCCTGTTTTTTATTCTGTTATAAAGTACTTTTTATTGTATTTCATTAGTTGTTTCATTAATTTTGTTAGTCGTTTTCTTTGCCCTGCCTTCCCAATTCAAACACTGTCGCAGCTGATATCTTCAAATTTTTCACTTTGTGATTCTTTTCCAGAGCACCTTCCAAAAAGAAGTGAGTTCCCTTCGCACTGCACCAAGCTTCCGTAGTCTCCAAGTCTGCATTGGTACCCAGTCAATTTCATATACCTCTGTTCAATTTTTGTTGAACTTCTTTTCTTTTTCGGCACAGAGTACTAATTTGTCTTTTCTCCAGCCATTTTTTAAAGTTGTAATCATGCACTTAAACATTGAAAGGGACTACAATCAACTGTATATTTGAGTTTCCATTAATTTTTACTAGTCCACACCCCTTGTATTCTTTTGATTTAACCTGGACCTGCTTTCTAACAAAATTTTTTAAAGCTGTGATTACATGTATATGAAGTGATACCTCTGAAAGGACTTGGGTCAATGTTATACGTCCATTTGGCAGAAGGGAAAAACCAACCTTTCCTGTCTTACAAGAGAGTACCAGCCATGGCTGGTAACCAGTATGTAACTGGTAGAGAATACCAGCCATGGTTGGTAACCAGTATGTAACTGGTAGAGAATACCAGCCATGGCTGGTAACCAGTGTGTCACTGGCAGAGAATACCAGCCATGGCTGGTAACCAGTATGTAACTGGTAGAGAATACCAACCATGGTTGGTAACCAGTGTGTCACTGGTAAAGAATTCCAGCCATGGTTGGTAACCAGTACTCCATCTCTTCATAGTAAGAAATTCCCAATGCATTGTTTTTGCAATAAGCCAATTCGGTATTCCAACTATGCGAGTGCACGTCTAGACCAAGTAACTGGGGCGCGAGAACTCCTTTTTCAAATTTTGGTTTGAAACAAAATAAATTTGTTGCACACAAATCATGATCACATGACCTCTACAAGATACAAAATATTACACTTGTGGAAACTGGTCAAATGCCATCGATTTGCAGATCACAAATTGATCGTGAATAGCATTACCGGAGCACCAGTAGTTCGTCTTTGACACCTTAAGAAGCCATTAGGCGATGTGTAATGTATTTTATCATGTCTTCATCGTCATTTTGGCAATAATTTTGAAATCCATTGTGTGCATTTATCTAGTATATTTATGCCACAGGTAAAATCATCGAATCTTGTTTTGCAAATGTGCTGTTGGAATATTGATTTTGCTTATTGTTAATTACTTTTTTAACTGTTAAAGAGTCATCTTGTTAAATCTCCAGGATAAAAAGTCAAGCTGCTTAAACTGAATGCTTATAATGTGTCACAATCAAGGAGACAAAATCTACTTCTTTTTTTACAAATTAAACTAGACTGTTTTCTTGTGCATTGTAATAAAAAGAAACACTGCTCAGCTTGAGATAGAGATCCGTTTCATCATCTGTTGCCGTAATTTTACTGTGTTTTGTACATTGAAAATCAGATTGAATTAGATTGATACTTTATCTGCAAGCACCTTGGCCAGTTAAGCAAATTTACTTGCAAGATTTAGAAAATATAGATTTGTGAGGTTGATATCTCTTGTAAGTTTTAATTTAAAACAATCTTAATTTGGTGAGGAAACCAATCAATTGGTACATATTTATTATTATTTTTTTTTAATTTAATTTCTTAATAGCCCCCACGTTAACAAACACAAATTGTTTTCAGGCAAAAGTTAATGAGGATGTAACTTTGCGTTTAATTTTGTTAACGTTTAGCAAATATTTTAAGAACCCCTTTAAACATTAAGCCATTTAACAAAGGCTGACGCCAGCCCATTATGTTTCCAGTATTTCAAAAATGTTGGATATTGTGTATAAATTGTCCCTCATGTTATTGTTGTGTTGGCCGTGATCAACATACCTGTAACTGACAGTTGGCTTCTTTGGGTTGCTGTTTCAATGTGTTAAACCCAAAGAAATATCGCATGAACGTAGGTCCCTTTTTATAATTAGGGTTTCGTTTGTTAGTCGTGTAACTGTCACATCCTTCAAAGTTGGTAAATGTGAAGGTCCCATAGCCATTACTGGGCCCAATTTCATAGCGCTGCTTAAACAGTAAGCAGAAAAGTTGTGCTTACTATAGCAGAAAATCATGCTGCTGGTTAAGCACTATTTCATGCTAACGGTTGCGCGCGCATGGAGATTTCTATTGTTACGTCACTGATTTAAGCAAAGTTTTCTTCTGGGGTTAAGCGTGCTTTGCTGTGCTTATACTGCTTAACGGTCCCTATGAAATAGATGGGGGCTCGGTAAGCACAAAGTCGGCTGTTAAGCAGCGCTATGAAACTGGGCCCTGGCCGTAGGGGCAGTGGGATGTTGGAGGTCCACTGTGTCTTGGGCGCGGCATATGAGTGGCAGGGCCCAGTCCTCTCCTCTAGTGCCGTCTTACCTTCCCTGAACGAATCAGGTACACTGTACTCATTTTACTTCCACTCCGATCCGTAGCTCCACGCTCCAACCGCTCGGCCACTAGGCCCCTCTAAAAGTTGATATGGGTTAATTATTGGTCTTCAAACAAAAACGAGTTTAGAATCACATTACGCACAAAGTGACTGCCGTGCCTATGACTTCCAGGCATACATGCACTATGCGGCAAAAAAAAGCTAAAATGGCCGTCTGAAAAAAACCTAGCAAATCACGTCGGATTATAATATTTGATTCCAACTGCAGAGAGATGTCGAGTTAAATTTTCCTTTTCAGCGAGGACCCCGCCCACCGATTTTTGCTGTCAGGTATACACAGCGCCACCTATCGTCCTGTTGTTACTTTTTTTCTAAGTATATGTGTCATGATCATATGAACTGGGTATCTGAAAAGAGGATGAAATAGTACAATGTAGTTATTAAAAACTGTGTACTTTTATGTGGGTGACTGGTGGTTGGTCATCGTTAATGTTTTAACCCAAATAAAACTGAGCTTCAGACTGAGAAACAATTCCAAATTGCTTTTTACTAGGGACAAAAAAAAACCCAGCCACTAGTAGGCGTATATTGTCGGGAGGGGGAGAGATTCCCCCCCCCCCCCAAATGTCCATATTTTACGCAATAATATTAAAGTATTTAGCCAACATTCACTGCATCTATGGCCGGCTCGAAGTAAATTAAATCTCTGTCCTGGCCGGTGGCGTATTTAGGTTGCTATAGTGGTTGCATGGTCTCCATTCTTTTTTTATAAATAGCGAAAGTATCTTGTGAAAATGAATTCAAGTGTTGCAAATCGCTCACTAACTGGATTGACATGACCTGAAAATATACAAACCAAAAATACATCATGTGCGAAAAGTCCAGGTCCACTCAGTTTAACTACAACAAAAATAACAAATTGTAAACAAAGTTGAGAATGAGAGATACGATCGACCCACCCCTCGCACAAGACTGGCTAAGTTTCGTCAGCACGGTTGGGTCTATCTTAAATTATCATTATTATATATATATATATATATATATATATATATATATATATATATATATATATATATATATTTTTTTTTAACTGAGTTGGAGAAAGTTGTGTGAGTCACGAGTTTAATGAGAAAACTGCATGACTTATCACACCACGTGTTTGCAATGGTTGGTTGCGCAATGACTAATCCACTTGACAAATAAACGTTTTATAGTTTGCATCATTCACCAAACAGCTCATCTTGAAAAAGTTGCAGTGAAAAACGTTTCTTCAAATTGTATTTCACTCTTTCGATGATCGCCGCACGATAGCTTTAAATTTACAACATTTAGGAAATAATAAGGGAAATGTTGCAAAGCATAAATCCACGCTTACGATGTTAGTACATTCGAGAGTTTTCGCGGCAAAATCGTGTCATAACATCCGGGAATGTTTGTGCGGCATTTGTTTTCGTGCATGACATCATCTTCATCCGGGAGCTGCAGTACGCGTTGTCATAGAAAATGGGCGTGGCCACGGCAAGATCAGACGCGCCGCCCGAGTGATTGGCGGTCGCCACGGCTACCGGCCTTGAGGTCGCGTCCGCGATGACGTTCCAATAAAGAACGACGCGCTAGACTTTCCGCCATTTTATATTTTTGGCGCCGAACTCAATCGAGAATCTCCACGGGAAAATAATCCCACATCGTCGATGCGACCTCTGTTGGTGAGGGGGAATATCATCCCAAGGCTGGAATAACTTTATTCCTGGATTATTTCGAAGTTTTCCCTGACTATTTCGGTACTTCTCGAGGTGATCGGAGGAGAGATCGGAACCGTACCCGACCGTCAACAAACCCGTTAAATTTTCATTTTCGCGCGCCAATTTCCGAGTGGCTCGTCGATGTGATTGACCCCTGGACGCCGGGTTTGAAGAACCCTGGGGGATTTCTGACCTCAGATCGGACTACAACCGACTCCCGAATTAAATAGTTAACTTTTTATAAAACAGGTAAGTGCATTTTCCTGACATTTATTCTCCCAAACAAGCAGATTTTAGGGTGATTTTTCTGGAGGGCGCTAGCCCTGTTTCATGCGAGTCCGCCGGTTATGCCGGCACCCGACTACATTCGCGGGGAACGCACTTCCTTGTTTACGTTTTCAAACCTCGTGTTTTCACATTCTGAAGACAAAATCACTGAATCGATATACCACCAAGGATACTCGAAAATACAAGCTGTCTTCCTGTGTACTTGTTTTCCAAGGTTGGGTTGGTGGTGACAATTTTGATGGGGTAATTTGAAGATGATACAGGGGCTGAGTCAGCGAGGCTGAGGCGTGAATCACGGTGACTGTTCTGCCGTCTGTGACGGCCCACGCTATCATCACAAAACTTGCCCAACAATTCCCTCTTCAAAATATTTGTATATCCCCCAATTCCTGTCCATATGTGTATCTTAGGTTTCAGAAGGGTTCGTGGCGTGATTTGGATGATTCCAATTAAACTTGTAACCGTGTAAATTGTGAAAAGTTGGCGTTGTTTTGTGCATGGTTGTGTAGCTAGCTAGCTTCACACGGCCGGACGCCCCAGTCGGCAGACCGGTCGCCCAGTCATCAGGTTCGGTCTTCAAAAAAACATCCCCAAATCCCACTTTTCCCCGTGATCAGTCACTGATTGGTACACAGGCGACATGCTGGATAAGTTAGCAACAAACTGGTGTGTGACATTCAGTTCAAATTGTATCTTTTTGGGTTGTTAGACGGCAGATTTCGACCGAGACCTCGTGGTTATGTTTTGGTTCGTCAGCTGATCGGCGTGCCGTGAAACACGTCTGCCATGTCGTCGTTGGGGCCTCATTTGCATAATGGCCTCTCGCAATTTTTTTTTCGCGCTGTCATCATGAACTGTGTTTTCTGTCTGGCCACGCGTCTGTGCTAAATAACGATCGCGATAATAATGGCGCTCATGGCCCAGTTTATGCCGTGCACGTTCGCGGAAATCGGGTCAACGGCTTGAATTTCATGATGAACAGCCTTTGTTTTGTTTTTTTTCTCTTTGATGAAAAGTGCGTCCACAGCTTCTGTAAACTCGGGGTTTTGACTTTTTGTTGTTGATCGTTGACCATGTTGACGTGATTATGACTTGAGTTTGAGGAAATATAACGTGGCTGCCAATATTGTGGTTTTAATCTAAATATTGTTTGATGATCAAAACGCACTATTGCTAAATTCTTTTTATTATTCACACAATGTGTTATAGTTCAGGAAGTGTTCAAAAATAGTGGTTTAATTTTAAACAAATTTTGTTGTGATATTTTTAAAGGCGTTGTGGAAAGTGTATCTAGGCCACTTCTTTGGTTGTGTAAGTCTAAAGAGAGTTGCATGTACTTTTGAACTTTAAGTATTTTCTTACAAAATTGGAAATGTTTCTCAGTCCCAGATTCATGCCTTTCCCACATTTTTGTCGAGACTGTCCTTCATTGAGATAATATATGGTAAAAAAAAAAAATCCAAAATTGCAACACTCTTTCCAGAATGGTTTAAGTTCCCTCTAGTTATATGGTTCCAACTGACTGGGCATAACTTGAAAAAGCTTTCGTTTCAAATGGATGGATACCGTTTGTGCGAATTCATAGAACATTGTATATTGCAATATTGTTCGAAGCTTCAAATGCTTTGCATATTTTCACATGGACTGATGGCTTTTAGTCATGCATTCCCGAATAGCCTAAAGTTTAAAATATTATTTGGCCTTGGAAAAGTAGGCCTAGTGCGGCTTATTTCATGTTTATAGACTGCATGCTTTGTACCCCTTCATTTTGATAATGCTTTAGCGTCAACAAAGGGTCAACAAACAATGATCAGCGTCAACAAAGTGTTAACAAGCTTAAAACGCGCTGGAGCTTAAAGAAAGCTATAGGTCGTAAAATGTAAAAAGTTAGGGGAACTCAAGCTCACAATCCCACAAAAAAACAAATTATGGCAGCATGAAGCCGCCATCTT